ACACACACACACATACACACAAAGCTGGGCAGCCTGCCAAACTCTTACATAATCTATCTTTCCACCCTTTACTCAATATTACTGCGCTGCACAGCAAAGTGCAAAGGAGAGAAAGAGTCACACATGCACATGCATTTTTTAAACACCCTTAAATAAATCTCCTTAAAAACACAGTAATAGCCATCCCCATGCTCATAGGTGTTTATGAATACATCCCAACTGGCACATGCAACAATTTTAATAAAACAAATACAATTAAGATAGGATACAAAACAATAAAAACAGAACTTATTGAGGTCAGTGATGTGGTGAACGTGACCACTTCTGCTGTTGTTTCAAATTTTTTTAGCAATCCAAGAATACTAATCTTCAATCTGATTTTAGAAAGCTGTTTGTTTGTGGACAGTGCCCCCTGGTGGTAATCAGACAGCCTTACAGTTTGGAAAAGTGGGTGGATAGTTGGGCGTTATGATGGGTCGCATAGAGCATTCTGATTCAATAATTTCTCTACCTTTGGGAAGGAGTGAAGGTGAAATGGCTCCAGTTGTTTCCGTGGAAACTCTTGACTGCGATGTAGTGGAGGAGGACCAGCAGAGGGTGAATCACTCACGCTCGATTGGCTGTCTGACTGGCTGTCGACACCATTGTTTTCCTTCCTGTTTATCTTGTCAGCCTTGAGGTTTTGAATCATGATTGAAAACATTATATGCAGTTTTAATAAAAGTTTTTAATATAATAGACGATTTTAAAAAGCAGTGTAAAAGATTGAAAGCGAACGTCTTTATTCAATGAATTACACCAATTTTTAGTTAGTGTGTTTTCTTACTTGCACAACCTCCACTACTTAACATTACTACGGTGCGATACTTTAACCACCACTGATCATATCACTAACAATCTGCTACCCTTTTTCCTGACTGATTAGTGTCACGCAAACACATACTTCTGTAGAGACAACATCATGTGACATGACAAAAACATCACCTATCATCTAGTACCCACCGTAAATACATAAAAAAAAAAGTTTCCATTAGTCACAGTAGGTAACAAGATACATGAACGTACAGCTGAATCTGTGTCCTTTTATTACCTCAGGTTGGGCTTGCTGGAAGTTTTAAAGTGAATGCAGGTAAATGATTAAAGATTTACTCCTTATACTAAACTGACTTAGAATAGTTCCCTACTCATAGCTTTAATGAGGGAAACGCCACCTCTTTAATTTTAAAAGATACCAGCTTAAAACACTGATAAAAACAAATCAATGTAATTACCTTTCTAAACTTTCGTATAGATGCATACTCGGCTAAAGATGGATCTTGAACAGCCAGGGAATTCACAGAAGAGAGAGGTGACCTACTGACCCCACTTGCTCCATTACCTCGTCCCGTCATTGGTCCATTAATAGTGTCATTCCCTCTGCCACCCTGGGAGTAAAAAATATAAAATGGGAACAGAGAAAATATGTAAGCATTGCCTAAAATTATTAGCGTCAACCATCCAAAAACACACACAGACACACAAAAATTACATGCAAAGCACCCTAAGCTAATGTTGCATGAACAAGGCAATGATGCAAGCCATCTATATGCAAACAAACAGAGATTTTAGTTGTAATACTGGTTCTTGTGTGGCACATTTTATTTCACGTGACTAATAGCTGCTGTTAAACTGTTTAGTGCATGTACCTCCCCAGATGTTTTTCAGAGAAATGTACATGAATGCATGATTGCTCGTGAGCAAGTTGCTTTATATTTACAGCTATTTAAAATGCATGTACGTACGTTTGCGTGCCCGTTTCCACTCCGAGCTCCGCTGGCATGAGTAGAGGGGCTTTGAGGAGCCCTGGCTATAGCTGGAGCGTTGGCTGATGTGGTTGGTGGGGCAGAGGGTACTTTTGGGCCTTCCCGGACACCTACGCTTTCATATAGGCCATCATCCAGGTAGTGGGTAGGGGTGGGGTTATTGCGTAGGCCCACCTCAGTGTAGGTGTGATCTCTTGCTTCGCCTCCTCCTCCTCCGCCGCCTCCCCCTTCCCCTCCCGTTTCCCCTTCTCCCCCCTGGCCAGATCTCTGTGGACTGGTGGGGATCTGGGGGAGCTGTCGGCCGTGGGAGGGCCTCAGATCCGTCTGGGAGCGGCGACTGTGGAGAAGCAGGAGGTCCATACTAGCTGGACGGCTCTTACTAACAGCTGCGCAAAAGAGAAAGATGAGGGAGAAGCGGAAGGAGATGGTTGTGTCATGGCTGAAACAGTGTAACGGCTTATTGTAGTATATCATTTATTGTCACTTAAGAGCTGTTAGCCACCACTTACAGTTTCCATTGCAGGGAAAGCGATTGATCTCATGGAGCCTGGTGTCAGATTTACTCATGGAGTTGAGCTTTGGGTGGCGAAGGGTACCCTGCTGTCGTGCACACATGGACTTGTTAATACAGACGTAAAACATGCAAACGTATGCATGTGCATCTGTACTTAGCTTAGAGGAAAAAGAGCAGTGGCAGATAGAGAAGTGGAGAGAGGAAACGAAGAAGGGAGGAAAAGATAGAATAATGAAAAGATGTCTCACCATATTTACAGATGTCCCTTTCTCCCCGGCCGGAGGGTGCTTGCTTTTGCTTTTCCTGACACAAAATCAAAGTGAAGAAGGTCAACAGAAGCCAGTGGACAGAAAGAGAATATACACACACTCAGAGCAGATAGATACTATCAGCATCCAACTCTGGTTAGGGCATAAAAGTCCTCGGTTGATAACAAGAGCCCAGTAAAACATTGAACGAGCGTGACTCAGGCTTTTTTGCCAAAGTGGAGAATGACCTTCACTGCAATTTGTTTTCCAAGATAAGAGCAGGCAAGCTCACAATTATTAATATGTTGTTTGCTTTGTGCCGATTCTCTTTGCAATTTCACGTTACTTTCCTCTAGCATTAACCTCGTGAAGCAAATGTATGGAGTGCACTGTGGATCCCCGGAGGCTGTATCTATAGGAAACAGTTGATATGGCTGAGAGTGTGACGAGAAAACAAGAGCTCCTAGGTGCAGGTGCAAATGTGACAACAGTTCTACCCCCATCTCTGAGATCTGAGCTCTTACTGCTGTGCTGCAAAACAGAGCGCTGCAAACAGGTGCAGAAACCATACACTGCACCTTCTTATTATGCAAGTCGCTTAAAATAAATCTGAATATAAAAGGTGCCACGGGAAGTTGTGGCAGATCCATGTCACTGGAGCTAGATATTATCTCCTCTAGTAAGCTGGAAATCTTTTGTTCAAACATATGGCCATCATTGCCCAAGGAAACCACGAGAAGAGAGCTCCCCTTGGAGCTTTTCATAATAACATGGCACAGCAGAAGGGTTTAAGGTAAAAATGACGTGAAGGCATAAAGTCAGATCCACTGCAATCTTTGGAATTTAAAAGAACCTTACATCTTAAAAATCAGAAGCTTACATCTTCTTTACAATTTAACACTACTGCAGTTATGTTTTCATAAAACAAACGAGGTTCTCTCCACATGCTTGTCTTTGTATACCATAGCAACAAAACTGCAGTGCCTCTGATTGGTCTCTGAGGGCTCGGCAAAAAAGTCATAGGCTGTTCCATTGCTCCTGCCTGGCTCAGAGTCTAATCCTTTGTAAACCGTGGGGTGTCCCATTGCTTTTGCCTGCTGAGTAGTTTGCTGGAGAGGGATGACGTGATCCTGCTCTGACTCTGGCCTGTCTCGTCAGTGTCCTGTAAACATCATTTCATCTGATCCGACACTCGCAGCCATTAACATTCATTAGCGCCACTCTGCTCAAAGCAGGGGATAAATGAGATGGAGAGGAAGGATGTAGAAGTGAAAAGAAAGGAAGGAGGAGAAGAGTTCAGAAGAAGCAGAGACACATAAAAGAAAGAGGGGATAGCGAGAGTAATTTGGGAGGGCACTAAAGCAAGAAGCTGCAAAGATCATAAAACTGGCCGTTCATCATTTTATTCCACGGCCTACTTATACCACATTTCAATGTCACGTGACCACAAATCATACCTTTGGCAGCCGACGCAGACAAGGACGATCAGGATGGTGACCACGAAAGCAGACGCTGCTGCAATGGCTCCCAGTAGAAGCAGGTTTTGGTAGGTAAGGTTGTCTTGAGAGCCCCCTTGTCTTTCCATGACACCCACTCCGTTTTGCTCACTTCCTTACTCAAGCTTAAACTCTTCCGCTCACACCGTCTGCTAAGGAAAACCTGCAAAGATAGAGGACAAGGATAAAGCACGCGATACAACATATGAGTGACATGAGAGATAAGAAAGCAAAATGCTGCCTAGAACAAGGTGAAAAAATGTGCGTGTGTGTTTGTGTGTGTGCTCCTGGTTTGCCTCTGGCTCTTTGTCACTGTCTCATTCTGACATATCAGTTTCTATTTTTGACTCAGTCGAATAATGCACAGAAAATAGAACACCTTACAAAGCAGCAGCTACGAGCACGCCAAAATTTGTTTCATCACATTCTTTCTTTTTGCTGTTAAAAAAAGATCAAATGATACCGTAACATTCATTTGACTAACCAGAGAGATTCTTGCAGTTAGTTTAACAGGAAAAACCAACTGAGCTCCCAAGAGTGTGGCCTCACTGACGGAAGGACCAGGCTCGCTGCTGCTACACTCCATTTGCCTGCAGAATTCTTTTTCTCATATCACAAGTGGCTCAAACACTGACGAGCAAAATGTTTCAGTTTTAATAATGAAGTGTACGACATACAAGGTAGGATTTTCACTTCAGGTCTTTTTATATAATTTACTTCACAAACACACTCAATTTGATTTACATAAGCCTTAAATGAGATTCGTTTTCCAAAATGTGCTGCCTACTATCAGGTTAAAATGTGTTAATATCAGCATATTATTAAGTATAGTACATCAACAAGGTTGCAGTAATGACCAATTTTTATAATAAATTGAGTATTTTACAAACTAGGCTGAATTTATTTTATACCTGTGCATTTGTGGGAGTATGGTACTTCTATTTGAAAGTGGTATGGAGTACAGTATGTAGTAAAGGAAAAGTTAATTCTTCCTCCAATTGCATTTCTGTGAATATATTTTTATAGATGGACTGCATTCATAAACTTTACCGAACAGTACAGAGAGAGGTGTCGGGGAGACACAAACATCACGGTGAGATGAGTCAGATATTTCAGTGATTTTACCCTGTCTGTTTCCTAGTGCGGTATATTTAGGTTCAGCCAAAGTGACAATCGAGGAAAATGATCAGTGAAATTGCAGCAAGCTGATATAACCTACTTTCTGTATGCTCTATTAAGGATACTGATACGCTAACTATTTAATTACGCTAATGATCTTTAGCTTTTAGTGCACTAAGCTGCAGTATTGGTTTTATTCCAAGCAGAATATTTTAGTGTTTTGCCCAGTTAAGTTATTTTTAATATAAATGAACCTTACATTTCAGTTACTACAGGACAGCCTAGCTTTCAAAAAGAGACTCACACTTTTGACGAATGTCTTACTTAATGAAAAATGCTAGATGCTTTTTAATGATATTTACCAGTACTATATGATCAGTACAGTTAACATACACATACCAGTATAATGTTTTTATGTTGATATTATTATTATTATTATTATTTTTACTAGAGGCTGACTATTAGTAGCTCTTTGCCAATATACTGGTACTGCAAAGAAGACGAAATGGGACAAACACATTTCAACCATGTTATGAGTGTTGTGGTTGCATAGTGTGTCCACAAAGGCAACAGCCAACTGATCCGAGCAGAGCTAGATGGACCAAAGTAAGATTATTTCTATACTACATACACACATACACACGTACATACATCAGCCAATATATGAGATCCAAGTCCAAATATCTGCACTGGTATCAGTTTCAAAACTCATATATCGATTGGGCTTTATTTTTAAGTATATTGTGTCTTCACTTGAACAGAGAATTTATACCTTGTGCTAATTTACTTCTTTCAGCTTTAACGGGCCACATTGTTGCAAGCTAACCCTAGAAGTCAGCTATGGTTATCTAGTTAGTCTGCAGTGTTAAGTTATCAGTGTCAATATTTAACACGAACTAATGTCTACTCATATCTTAAGTAAGTTAAGTGAACATCTAAGCTTAATTTTGCAAAAGGCTGCTTCATCTATCTCTAAAACCTGAACTGAATATAGTCCAAATATACTCGGAATTACTAACTTATCAGCCCAAGTTATTAGGAATAAGGCACAGAAGCGCACACGAACACACTATATGCTTTGCATTCTTCTAGAAACACAGACAATGGCATCCATGCGGTTAAGGATTGCATCCAAGTGACAAAGCGTACAGTGCACAGAAAGAGGTCATGGCAGGCTGTATACAGCTGTACATAATGTGTGTGAGAGAGTGATTCTGGAACATACCACCACAGGATCTGGCTCTGGCTTCCTGTTTCTTGGAGATAAAACTACATCTTTTCCATGTCCTCTTTTTTCTCATCTGTCTCTCTCTCTCTCTAGATCTGCTTTCCTCTCTCTCTTTCTCTATCTGTCTGTCTGCATAACCCTGCAGATATGTGAGGCGATGCACAGCGAATGAATTAGCAGAGCAGAGGCCTCAGACAGCCCTTTATGGAATAGACAGACAGGCAGGCAGAGTACATCACAGTGGAGAGAGGGGGGGGAATGAGGCAGAAAATGAATGAAGGCAAATGGTAAGAGAGAGGTGGTCAGACACGGGAGCAAATGAGTGGAGATGAAAGGGGAGAATGGTGGAAGATATGCAAGAAAATGGGGGGAAGACTGGGAAAGAGGGGAGCGCACTTCAAACGCGAAGGAGGAACGAGGAGGGAAGGGTGCAATAAACAGTGGGGGAGGGAAGAGAGAAAAGAGAGTGATGAGACTGGGAGGATGAGGACAGCAGAGAAATGCCGTGGAAGCCTTAGAGAATGTGCGATCTACGCGGGAGTATGGAGGGGGGCGCAGAGAGGGAGAAAAAGGAGTCGATGAGAAGGAGGTCATCAGCGGTCTGTTTCTGCCTGCATTTTGTCAGCCCCCTTCTGAAATATTCAGAGGAGAAACACATACGACGGGTGTGTTTCTGAACTGCCAGCGAACACAATGCAAGACGGGAGCACATGTCTAGCAGCATACTTAACAGTACGCGAAGCTCACAAGTGGTGAACAAGCCTCAGAAGGAGGAGGAGAGGCAGTTCCTGCACGACGCGCAACGCCCCTGCAGCATGCTCAACAGTGACACACAGTTAGGGTGCAAGAATGTTTATTCCAGCATCTGTCTTCATTTCAGAAGATTACGTGTAAAATGATGACAGTGATAATAACAGCATATTGAGAAAGATGACAATGGTGGTGATAGCCCTATTGAGGCCCGCTGCTGGTGATTATAATATAGATGTCAGCAATGATGATGAAAGGTGCAGTAGCTAATACTGATGGTAATGGTACTGATGATAATGAGTAAAGAGGTCAAAGGGATTGTTACAAAGACACACTGAGGTGCGGATGCAAGCAGCAGAACTGAGAGAGCAGCAAGCAGGATGCAGCGGTGCAGCACAACCACAGGGTGGAAGGTTTCCTCTGTGTGTCTCTGAGACTCACATACACACACACAAACACGCACACAGAGAACATAAAACAATTTCTGTGTTACAAATGCCAGTATTTGGATTGCACAATCACTTTGCAAATAAAAAGTCAAATCGTCACACTATTTAACCCTCTAACGTGCAAATGGGGTCTGGCAAGCTTGTGCAGCCTTGTGATTTTGCAATCTCTGCTTAACTAAAGCTAATTATAGATTCCACTTTTAGCTGCTTAAAATAGACTGATGAAAAAAAAAAACATCAGCAAGTTTTTCAGGTGCGTGGAAATCTGTTTTAGAGACCAGCAGAGGAAATTTATCAGACTGGTTTCTGCAAATGAATAACTACAACCATTTTTAGTCATTATCCCTTTAATTAGATATTTAAAAAAATCATTATCAACAAGCTACTTTATGAGCAATGTTTTTTTTACTATGAACTGACCTACTACATCAAAAGTGGGCTTTTTTGTAAAGTTTCAAAATAAACATAACCTGGCTCACTTGCATCTCTAAGATGACATTTATATTTCTCTTTAAATTGTGGATTGCATCATGGGTTGTTATACAATTTTAATAACTTTCAGTAGTCAAGATTTGTTGGGTCAGCTTCCTGTGAAGGCTAGCTTTAACCCCTCATTAGGCAGGGAACCATGTATGCTAACATCAAAATTAGCCTCCCCATGCTTCTCTGTGAGGTTGTAGAACCACATGGCTTTCTCCCAGTTAAAAAGCAAAGATCTGAACAAACATGAGCCCAGAGTATTTTAAACTCAAAATGTGTTTTTATTTATTTTTTTGCCTTTTATTATTCTTACACCCAGTTCATTTTTAGACATACACCAGATGCATTCAGTAAGCCATAACACATAACTCTGGACAGTAGTGCTTAATAGTACACTGGATGTTGCCAAAGGTTGGTATAACAATATACAGTGATACAGTAAGAAGTTTACTTCACCCATAGACATTTTCAAACAATCAAATATGTGTGCGTTCTTAAGTTTTATGACCTTATAGCAGTTTTTATTATACGTACTTATATTGCATATACTAGTGTATATTTATGCTGTGAGACTTGGTGCAGCTAAAATTGATTTAGTAATCCAATATTGGGATTTATATAGTTTTGATGAAATTTTGTGTAGGAAAAAAATTAAGTGGTACCACTTAATGTTATATATTTACGATTTATTTGTCAACGTATTTTGTTGTCAGTGGATCTGCACTTTACTGTTACAGTTTCACTTCAAAGTGGGATATCAATACTGATTAAAAAAAAATCTTCTTTTGCAACTGTGATCTTCCCTTTTATGGAAAAAAGAGGATGTTGCTGTGCCAGACTATCAACTACCATGCCAGAGAATAGTTCAAGCTGTATTTGGATTTATACACATGCTTAATTCGGTGTTTATGAAAGAGCTTAAAGAGCTGCCACATTACAGCAGTTTCACCAAGTGCTATGAAACAGTTCCCTATGACTGGACAGGACTGCACTGTGTGCTATATTTCTGACAAGTGCGAGTATCAGTAAAGATAAATATTCCTAAATAATAATTATTTTGCCTTAAATGTGTGAGAAATCATATAATTGACCTTGATTTGCAGCATAAAGATATTAAAAAAAGGGGGGCTGTGCCAT